AACAAAATATCCATAAGTATTTCTTATGTCAACTCTGTCTCCATACAAATCAGAGAATGAATAACTTATCAGCTCCGAATCGAATTTAACACCATAAGAGAACAACACTCCATACCTCATAGTCCCTTCAGTATCTTCCAGCTTGTTAAACTCTGCAAATCTCCTTGATCTTTGTTGGATTCTTTGTGGCCTCTGAACTTGTTCAGAATCTCCTGATTCTGGAACAATATCTCCGTCTGAACTTTCTTCAAAAGTTTGACGATCACCAAAAGTTCCACCTTTGTTAACTTTTGGACCACGTCCAAAATCACTATCTTCAGAAATAACCACCTTCAAAAATTGGATCGCCTTCAGAAACACTGCCTTCAGAAGTTCCACTTTCATAATCATGATCATCGTCAAAGGCTGGACTACCTTCAGAAGCTCCTCCTTCAGAATGTCCACCTTTAGAGACATGATTTCCACCAGAAACATGATCATCTCCATAAGCTTGTCCTCCAGAACCTACGTCTTTAGAGTTTTCCCTTCTAAAAGCATGATCACCAACAGATTCAAAATCTGGATCAGAATCATATTATTCACCATCTGACTCAACTTTAGAGTCTCCAGAAGATTCTTCATCTTCTGACTCTAGCTCTTCTTCAGAATTTTGAAGTTCTGACTCATCTTCAGAAATCTCAGATTCTGACTCATCTTCAGAATCTTCAGCGTCATCTTCTGATTCTGACTCATATTCAAACACTCCTCGGAGTCAGAATATTCAGAGTCATCTTCTTCCCCTTCAGAATCAGAAAATGGCAATCGCATTGATTTCTCATCTGATTCATAAGCCATCAATAACACAATTTCATCATCTGAATTTCTTCTGGCTATTTTTGCTTCTTCTTTGTTTGACGAACAATCTTTAGCAAAGTGGCCAAACCTATTACAACATTAACATTAAACCATTCTCTTGTCATACTTCTCCTTTCCCTTCTGATGTTTCTTCTCATCAGAGCAGAAGACTTCTGACTTCTGAGACCTATCATGTATTTTTTGCTTCTGGTCCTTCTTGATAAAAGCTTTCAGAGCCTGCTCAACCTCCCTCTCAAAAGTTCTTTCAGTCAGACGCAACTCTTACGCCTCTAGACTGCTTTGCAACTCTTCTATTTGCATGGTGTCCATATCTTTAGAATATTTAATTGCTACAACAATGTAATCAAGTTGAGGAATAAGAGACCTCAATATCTTCTCAATGATTACTTGTTCAGAAAGGGTTTCTCCACAAGCTTTCATCTCATTAGTGATCAGAATCACTCTAGAGATATACTCAAAAACCTTCTCGTTATTCTTCGTGTTGAGATTCTCATACTGCTTTCTGAGAGACTGAAGCTTCACCTTCTTCACTGATGTGTCACCATCATAACATCTACTCAGTGTGTTCCATGCAACCTTCGTCATCGTCGAATCACCAATTTTCTCAAACACGTTCTCATCCACACAATGATGGGTGAAGAACAACGTCTTCTGATCTTTCTTCCTTGTATCTCTCTACGTATTTCTTTGTTCCTCTCACATCTACTGCAACTGAAACATAACCATTTGTAACAAACTCAAGAATATCATGAGCACCAAACAACACACGCATCTGAATCATCCAACGATTTTAGTTTTTGTCATTAAATACTGGAAGTTTGATGCTTAGACTATAATTTCCGGTCATCTTCAACCTTGTACAGAACACTCCGATCTTACAAACACAGCGTTTCTCATTCCCATGGAATCATAAAACTTGATTCTGTTCAGATTTTGTTCAAGATTCAACACGAATTCAAGAATCAAAATCAATCACACAACGCCTCACCTTTTCACTTGTGTTTCCCGGGGATTCCAACCGGAGCTCTATATACCAATTTGTTGGTGCACAAGGTTAATAAATGAAGAAAAAGGTATGAGAGAATAATACTAAAGCTCTGCAATGACGACTATAAAGTTGTAAGAAAGAATGATTAAACAATAATTGTTGTTACTATTATAAATGGCAGCTACTACTAGTCTATTTATACACAAAATAAATTGTCACATAAGCCCTAATAAAAGTAAATTTAATGACTAAGTTAAAAGGTACAAACTAGGAAATACTAAACTTAACGGCTACACTAACAAATTCAGCTCCAGAATCCCAGAAGTTAAGCATACTTCTGGACGTAACTGCATAAACTTCTGCTTCTGACTAATAACAATTTCATGAATATATCAAACTATTACTTCTAACTAAGCAGTCTCAGAAGCTTACAGTTTCTGACTAACAAACTCATAAACTCAACTGCTTCTGAACAACAACATCAGAAACTTCTGACTCTAACAACAGTTTATGAATATGAAATATTTTTCAACATAGATAACCAATTCATTCCTAATCAAATTTTTTCATCCCATAGCCAAACCTACGGTAACTTAAAAAACCTAAGAAATACAATGAATTGACTCCTAGTTTTTCAAAACATAGTCAAATATGTGAGTATTGAGTTCCAAGCATTGTTTTGCAAGATTGAAAGAAAATGGCAAAACTCCAAACCAAATTCCATGTTAAATGTCAAGACAAGTAAACATCTCACTATTGGGAGATGGCGACAACCTAACAGGATAAATGCAACCTCTTTAATAGGGACATTTCATATGTCGAAAAATTTCAGGTTGTACATCTACATGTGATGTGTGCTTCTGACCTACTCTGGTTTAACTCCTATACAACTCAAATAAATTCCTTTTAAGTTTTAACTCATACACTTTTGTAATTTTAGTCGGATTAGTAATATTTTTGTAAGTTTAAATATTTTAAAAAGAGCTAATATGTGTTCTAAGAGCCTATGTTAAAAATATTATATTTTAAAAAAATTAAATATAATAAAATCATATTTAAATTTTCAAAATAATACTTATATTCTAAGAAAATATTTCTACAAATAATTTATTAATTTGTATCTATGAGACACATGTTAATTTTTCCTTTAAAAAATTAGTGACATCAACTTACACATTTATGAGATTTTCCTGCCACAGTTTTGTAATTAAAGTATTAAAATGCCAAAGTTATTTTTTAAGGACACATCTTTTTGTTTAAGGGTTCGTCCATTGGTTAGACAAACGGATGAAGTTGTTTTTTCAATGTACAGAGTTTCTATGGTTGCACGAACCGGGACAATTTTTTTTTATTTTTTATTTTTTATTATTTAAATATTTTAATTTATATGATTTAAATTTTCAAAACATCTCAGAATTGATAGCTAAAGATTCAAATAACTTACCATCTAATTTTGAGTATCAAATAAAGACACAACGCTATTTATGGTAATTTAATAAAAATATAACAATTTATAATAATATTATTACATTACTTAATCTGTACACAATTTTTAAACGACTCATTTTGATTTTGATACATTTGATGTTAGTCTTTAAGAGTGAAACAAATATGAGTGGCAAATGATGTGAATATCAAATAAATACACAATGCTATTTATGATAATTTAATAAAAATATATTATTTTATAATAACAGTATTGCATTATTTAATCTATGCACAAAATTCTTAAACAATTCATTTTGATTTAGATTTAGAAATATTTGATGTATATTTGATGTAGTTTTTAAGAGTGAAACAAATAAATAGGTGGTAAATGATGTGAATATCAAATAAACACAATATTATTTATAGAATGGGATATTAATCATTTTTTAAGTTTAAAAACTTATTTTAATTATATTATATTAATTAATATATTAATTAAAACATTTAAATAATAAAAAACAAAAAAAAATCATCATCTTCATACAGTCCCAACCAATGGATGAACCTATAAAGAAAAAAAAAATATGCACCCGTTCGTACAATGCATGGTAGAACCCAAAAGGAAAAAGTGACATTTTGAGGGGAAAAATTCAAACTATAGCATTTTAGTATTTAATTTTCAAATGTATGCATCCATGTAAAAAATCCATTTATAAACTAAAGTGGATAAAAAGTACTGCCTCTAGCACCATTACAAATATTTTGTTATTAGGTGTAACTCACCCTTCCAAAATCGACGAGAGGACCATCCAAACTTCAAATTATAAGCACTACACATGCTATATTTCTAAATAATGCGAGACTAATTCTATCCCTTCACACCCAAAACAATGAAAGTCTTGAAAGCTACCAAGAAGGCAATCCAAATACTGCAATTGGACATCTAGGAGCAAACCGCAATGAAGGCGGAATTTTCAACACATCCCCTCACATTCGGGTCTCAATTGAGCCTGAAGCATGGACGATGCAAAAAGCCCTACAGATTTAAGGTAGACTCTATATGTGTCAGCTAAGTAACCCTATAGCAGTAAGTAACCTGATGCAAATGGCCCAACGAATCTTAAATAAACTCCGATATCATCACAGAATTTGGATCTAGCCTAACTCAACCTTATAAAACTTGATTGTAAAGTGAGAGTTGCCCAAACTTTGTAAACACTACACATGCCGTACCTCTAAACAATTTGAAACTAAATCCACTCTTTTACACCCAACACAATGAAGGCAGCCCAAATGTCACACTTAGGCAGCTAGGTCTTGGACCGTAATGAAGGCAGAATTTCCGACAGACAAACAATATAGCATTTTGAAATAACAATATCATGACTAAGCAAGTTGAACGATCAATTTAACAGTAACATTTGATATTGTGGAGAGAAAACTCCCTGGGATATTAACTACAATTCCAATCACAACTAAACAAATATCTATCCTAGAGTTAACATATTATCTAAGACTCAAGAATCTAAGTATTTCACAAGTAACATTTAGACCAACGACAAAAAAAAAAAAAGACCACATTTCCCTTGATTAATGAACATGTTTATATATGTAAAGAACACTACTTTAGAGGCCTTAACTAATTTGTGTCGGTATCTATATAATGAAGGGCAAATCACCCCAAAAACAGAACCTGATTCCAGTGTAGTTTCAAAGAAGATATAATTTTCTAAACACCATCATTACCACCTTTCTTGTTAGGTTTGCGGTATTTTTCCTCGAATTCCTTGGCCGTTAACAAGAAAGTGTCAGCTTCCTTCTTGATGTTTGGAACTTGGTAATTCTGAGCGACATATATCCCAACCACGTTCCCTGCTATAAAAGTGAAGAACCTCCTGATTATACCCATTACAGTTGCTTCAGTCCTTAATTCGAAAGCAGTTACAATGAATGACTGTCAGAAAGAAACATATTATCAGGCAAAAATCATCTGAGGAGTCATTTGCTTATGCACCCCATTCAATCTTCAAGCATATTGCTCAATTTCACTCTGATCGATTCGTTTTAAAATATCCAAGTACATCATGAGGCCAATATCGCGAAACAATAGCAGTTTGTTAAAATTTCATTATAGCTATAACTATGTAAATTTTAACAAAAAAATTTAGGGTTTAAGAAAAAACAAAGTAACCAAAAATAAGAACTAGATAAATAGAAAAATCAGGGACACCAAAACATGGTTATGATGAATTGCTACTTTTTAATCTATTGAAATTAACTAATCATATACAATAAATCATTCATACTTATCAATTTATTGAAATTAATGTGATAGATTATACATCAACAGAGAACAAAAACAAACATAGATAGATTCATGATTCAAACAGTGAAGAAGATATCGTACCGAATCGCGAGAGGCCGTTATTTGTTGAACTGATTTCGATAGAACCGAAAACGAATCGGAGAAGAAGACAATACCCCAATTCTCTTTACTCATAATAAACTATGAAATTTGAGCAATTTTAATATAGAGTATAAAATAATATTAAAAAGTTCAATTGAAAAATATGTATAAAATAATGTAATAGGATGGTTTATCATTTGTGGACCCGTATAATAGGTTTTTTAGACTGATTTTTGGCAAGAGTTGAAACAAATTTTGTACAGTTGTGTTTGGATGTGTAGTATGAAAATAATAAGAGATGGGATAAAATTGGTGTTGTAGTACTCTGACTCTCCTTTAACTTTGTATTTTTTATAGGAGTTTGCAATGTGGTTTGAGAGCGGTTTTGAAATAAAAAATCATCTGAATTGTAAGAGAAAAAAACATGTGATTCAGTTTGGTTTTGTTGACTTTTAAAAATAAATTCAAATCAAATCAAACTAATGCGGTTTGAATTGGTACGGTTGGTTCGGTTTTTTACAAAAAAATAATTATTAAGTCATACATACAAATATAGAGAAAAATATAATTTTGTGTTTAATTGTTCATACATTACCATAAAAAAATTTATAATTGTCAAAATAAGTTTATAATTTAATATATAAAATTACGTATTATTATTTTATCTAAATCTAAAGAATGATATAGACAAGATTGCATTCTTAAATAAATATTATACAAAGAATACGATAAAATACATTTTGTGAAAATAATATTTATAAATGAATAATATTTTACTTTTTTATGATTTGTAAATTAAAATAAATATAATACAAAGTCTGATAAAGTATATTTTATGAAAATAATATTTATAAATGAAAAATATTTTACTTTTTTATGATTTGTAAATTAAAATAAATATAATACAAAGTATGATAAAAATATATATCTTAAATTCTCTAAAGAATTAAAGAAATATATATAGGTTACTAAGATTTTATAACATAATGCGGTTTTGTTTGGTTTAGTTCGGTTTGTAAAATACAAACTGCAAACTGAACCGAACTGCACGGTTCCGTGAAAAAATGACTCAAACACATCTGAACCAAATGCGGTTTTTTACGATTTCGATTTAGTTCGATTTAATTTTACGGTTTTCTATTAGACCGGTTTGGTTTTGAACACCCTTAATATTTTCTTTCTTTTTGGATAAAATAAAATTAACAACAAGAAAATTGTAATAATAATTAACTAAAAAAGAAAAAATTGTTAGTAACAACTAAACTAAAAATACAAAAAATGAAAATAAGAGACACAAAAAATTGACTTTAATAATAATAATAATTAAGAAATTAAAGTAATATTATAACCAAATCAAAATTAAAAAGAAACTAAAATTTTAATGACTAAAAAAATAAAATATAAATAAAAGAAAATGGTATTAACTATATTTTTTTTTTGAGATTTTCTGAACGAAAAATACAACTAAAATAAAAATGACGCTGATTACATATATTTTTTTGGATTTTTCAAATAAAGTGACACAAACATATACGTTTAAATAGAATTAATAAAAGACCATATTTTTGATATTTTTCTTTTGAATAAAGAAGTACAAATAGTAAATAAAAAATAACATGATGTTAAATACTTTTTTTTGAGATTTTTTAATGGAAAAGAAATCATGAATAAAACACAATAAAAATCAAATTTTCCTAAATTCATAAAATGATTTCTAACGTTTCTATTTTTTGTGGTTTTTCAAAGGATAATCAACTCTTGACTTGTAAAGAAAAATTGTAGATGGTGTCAAGGAGAATTATATGCAAAAAGAACCGCTCAAAATATCAAAATTTGAAGAAGTTATGAATTTTTTAAATCTGACTCGAGAATTGGCGAAAATAGGTCAAACCACTTGTAAACACTTGCTATGCAATGATGCAGATGGGAGGTGGGATCTTAGATAAAAAATTGGGGTATGGAAGTTGCCCTTATTTAAGTTTCTTCTATTCACAGATATGAAGATTGAAATCTTCGTTTCGACGAGATTGAAGATACTTAAATATAGAATACACAACTTTTGGTCCTAAGATACCATAATGATGTTTATGATATGAATGCAATGCTCTGAATTTTATGGGGAATGACGCTACATGAGATAAACTACTACTGGAGAAACCAAGCACATGATAAAGTAATCCAACGGGGGAAGATATTATAACTTCACTGTGGAACAAAGCCACAAACTTCGAATGAAAGACTTTTATTGGGGAACAACTTCGAGAGAAGAAAAATTACCAAAGGTGAACTACTGAAGGTAGAGAAACAAAATGTGCACCAACTTTTACTGAAGGTGAACTACCTATTTTTATTGAAGGTAGAGAAACAAAATGATGCACCGACTTTTACTAAAGGTGAACTACCGACTTTTACTGAAGGTAAAAAAAGATAATAAACCTTTCCACGATAAATATGTTATAGTTTCTTCTTTATCAAGTCTTCCACTTGGAAAGGATAATATACAAACTTCTCCGTGGGACTTTTCTGAAGAGATACCATTTGCTGAGTAAACCTCCCCAAGAACCTGGTCATAAGCCACGAACTGGTCTCAGTTTCTTCTTAATCAAGTCTTCCACTTGAAAAGGATAAAATACAAGTTGTCTTTGTTAAAAGGACTACCACTTGCAATGATTTCATAACAAACTTCTCTACGGGACTTTTCCGAAGAGACGCCCTTTTCCGAAAGGTAAAAGTATGCTCCAAATACACAAGTTGATCAAATAAAGAGGATGTCACTTGCTGAAAGGTAAAAGTATGCTGGAAATACACAGGCTTCTCAAACAAAGAGGTCGTCACTTGCTGCCAGACAAGAGATTTCAATATAGTATTATAAATACACTGTTGGGAATGAGAGTCAATAACTTCATTGGGGATAGACAAACTGCTCATGAAGAGACCGCCATTTACCATAAAAGAGGAAATCCAGAAATGATCAAGCTGCTCAAATAAAGAGTCTGCCACTTGTTATTAGGTTGAGATTTCAAGAGAGTGTTGCAACAACACTACTGGGAAACAAAGTTCATATTTACTGGAAACCATGAATGGATTCTACCTGAGGAGACGAAGTATTTAAAGGTGCAAAATAAATTCACTTTCAATCTAGGTTTCACAGCCTAGGGAGATCCACGGGGTGACATCTGCAAGAGACAAAGCTCCATCCAAAAATAAATTGCAGAGAAACATTCAAACAAGACTCTACCAGGTGAGGAATAAACTTAACTGGGACTTATCCTATCCTAAGATGGAAGGGAAAGCTAAAACAAAACTTTTCCACGTGGAATAAACTCAGTGGGGAATTGGAAAGGATGTACACTTTCTACTTAGGTTGTCACTCTATTTGGAAAGAGAGAATACTCTACTTGGGGATAAACACAACCAAAGTAGATGGACCCAAAAACATCAATAAATGTGAATGTGCATGAATGATGTAAGTGTGAATGAATAAATGAATGTCATGTATATGCTGACAAAACAGACCAAAAGAGGTAAACTGGAGATAAAAAGACATCACAGTACAAACAGATACTCAGTTAATCTCAACAAGATAGGAACATTACTGAAGATAGAACAAAAGCCATCAACGTAACATATTTCTGCTATAAGGCTCTAATCTCTCCGGAGATGAAGATACTTCTCGCGAGAAAACCCAAAGTCCCATCAATAATCCATTGAAAGGATAACAACACGAACAACGCTTCAGCTGGAGGAAAAAATATTGCTTGGTTGGAGATACTGGGGAACACCACCATCTGATAATATGTGCGAAGCATTTCACATATCTTGAAAAATATGGATTGTCTCTAGAGCTAACTTTGTATGCCCCAAGTTTACTGCTGATAAACTGCATGATGCACGACAATTCTTGCGAATAAATTCACTTCTTAAATGCTCCAAGTTACATAGTTTACGAGAAGAAATTGTCTCAAGAGGATTTTACAAAAGACCTGGCGTCCAAAATGCCCGAATGTCTTCAAATTCTTGGAGATATTCATTGAATCTTGACGTGACTGCCTCATATTAACTGTATTTGGCAAGACACAATCTTCAAATTTTCCCCATGAGGGTAAACAAACTATGAAGGCAACAACCTGTTCATGTTGAAGGTCTTCAGGTGATATGCCCTTGGCTATGATCATTCTTAGAAATGATTTTCCAATTACTTAACAAAGTTTTAGACCTCAAAAGATTAAAATCATCACTGGTGCTTATATGTAAGTTTCCTTGACATTAAGAAACTGTTTTACAAGCAAGAAATGTTTATTCTAAGAATGAAAATTCTAATGCAACAACTATGTAAGTCTTGAAGATTTTATTAAAAAGATGTCACAAAACCTTGTGAGCGAATCAATAGCCAAGATACGACATTGATTTTTTTGTATAAAAGATAATAAAAGCATATAATACCAACACAATAACTTAGCAAAACTCATGGGAGTCAGGAAACACTATCTCGTTGGAGTATGATTTTTAAATAAACCTTATTTCAATTAGAACTTTTGAAGGTTGTAACGTGGCTTGGTTCATGGTTTTAGAAAAAAAAGATTTAAGGCTCAAAATATTTGGTGCCCACCCATTCTCCATGATGTTCTCCATTCCTACATTCAGTTAAACCAAAATGAGCACTCATTTCCCGAGAGTATTTAGTTGATGATTGGGGAACCACTTATATTCTCCGGACACGACAATCACTCACTTTTATTTCTTGTCACACGAATCTGTTCTTTGCTGAGGATTTTATATTTTAATCCTTTTTCACCTTTCAGACTTTCCATTTCTCCATTGCTTTCCCTAAATTTTGTCTGGACAAATTCTTTTTGAATTTGACTCTGAAGTCCAGCAGGATGCCCTGACTTTTGCCTAAGCGACTTATTTTTCAAGTTCCGACTTAGCAGGGCTTTTTGTTTCTTCCTTTTTCATTATCTTTTATTCATTTAATTTTTTTCATTTAATTTTTTATATATCACCTTTTCTTTCCTTTTGAACATGTCGCGTGACTTCGAGTCATTTGTGACTTGTTGGAAGAATTGTGATTGCCTGAGTCCTTGGTGGATGAGGGATAACCGTTGTGGTATCGTCATCTGTTGATCTCCTGATGGGCGAGAGATACCCATTGGGATATCGTCTTTTTTTTATGCACACTAATGATAGGCGAAGATTGATCATTGTAGTTTTAACTTTCCTCAACCTTTTGAAGTATAACCATTGGTGTATCCTTAGATGTGAACTCTATATGAGTTTTGAACGCTCAATCAGATTAACTGAACACTACCATGCCTCGGGTTAAAAATGAGGGTTTTTTCTAAATAGAAAAAGAAACTCCTACTTCAAGGCTCAAGGGGGTTAACGAGGGTTTCACTCCCTTATATCTCCGGTGTTTAGGGATTTTGAAACAATTATTGTACATCATCAACAAGGTTTTATCCAAAAACATACAACCAAAAATTTTGTGTTTTAAATTCATCATCCTCCCTCCAGTTTCTTCTTAAGCGAGGGAATTGGAAACAAGTTGGTATCATAATACAAAAAGTCGATTTAAAATTGAAAATGAATACGAGTGAAACGAATGGGTTTCTTCAAGACAAACATACTAATTGTATTAAGATAATCATTCAAATGCAAATAAGTCCTTACATGCAAACAGTGCAATGATAACCAAGAAAAATTACAAATGAGAAATCAGTAAAATTGCTAGTAAAATAAGGAGGATAAACATCCTTAAACTCCAGGGTATCCTTCAATCAAGCTCTCCAAAGTTCATACCTGCTTGAGCAGTGGGTTAACATTACAGAAGGATAAGATACCACTTTTTATCAACTTTTGTACTTCTATTTTCAACAGAAAACAATTCTCAATGTCATGCCCAGGGGAGCCTCGGTGAAAATCACAGAAAGCACCAGCCTTGTACCACCAAGGAATTACTTCTGGGATAGTTGTCGGTGATCTTGTCTGAACCAAATTTTTTTGTAACAAATCAGACAATAATTCAGCGTACGTCATAGGAATTGGGTCAAACTAATCTTTCTTCTGCATACGACTTTGTTGATTATGCTGTTGATAAGTCTTTTGAGCAGGGACCACAAGAGCTGAATTAACCACCAGACTAACAAAAGCAACTTGTTGATACCTATTATGAGATCTCCCTTGCCTACCATGAAGTATAGTGTTGCTCTTTCTTTTTGGAAGAACTATCATTGTACTCCTTAGAACCATTTGATGAGTCCCCATCTTTAGAAACAACTATTGTATAATTTAAACAATATATTTTCATTCTTTTTACAGTACAGAAACAACATGAAAACTTATTGCAGAAACATATCATGATTAAAATAGAAACAATATTATCGGCATTAAAAGGAAACATAATCAATACAAGGACTGAATAAAAAATTGAATCAGATTACAAATCCTAATCCGCGAAATCACAGACAAATTAAATTCTTTCCTCAATTACTACCCCTAAGAATGCTATAAAATTACATAATGGAACGTTACGAAGAGGAAAAAATCATAGGGGGAATCAGGGATATTACAGTGAAAGAAAAAAGGGAAGAAAATAGAGAGGGGGGAAAAGAATTATAGTGTGACAATAAAAGAAAAAGTCAGTATACAAAAAATATTATAGGAAGGGAACAACAACGACCTCCATGGAATTCCGCCGACGACCGCGAGAAGCACCTCTACCGGACACTTCCTCTTCTCCACTGCGGCCAACACTTATATCGCATATCACCTGCACCACTCAATCCAGACGCATCTCCGGCCTTTCCTCCGCTCAGATCGCGATCGCTGCCACCCGATCGTGACCTCGCGCCCATTGTACGAAGCTAATCGCCACCGGAAACGGACCCAGACCACTGATCGAAGCCATCACCTTCAATGTCAGGGTCGTTCACGGAGGGCGTCACAGGTGGAAAAGCTGTGAGAACATTGAAGACAGGAGACGAGAAGTCAAGAGTTGTGTTGTTGTTCTGGACACAGGAAATAGCATGGAAAAGAGATTAGGGAGCGACCAATTTCTTCTGCTAAAAGCTCCTAGGTTTTTCTAACCCGTTAGTTAAGGGATGGACCTGGGTCAACCCGACCCTATCCGCTTTAGGCCCAGTTCTTTTTATTATATATAATTCTGTTTGTTTGATATTAATAACTTTTGGATCAGCCTGCATCATGTCCACCAGCGAACCTCCTCTCCTTAAGCCTTAAACTTTACACCCTCCATTTTCCAATTATCACACCTCTTAGATTTGTTTAATTTTAATTAATTACTTACTTAGATAATTAGTCGTGTTAATTAATAACTTTATTTAGATAATTAGATTAGATATTTAATTAGGATAAGTATTTAGAGATTAATAATTGGTACATAAATCAAACACTTTTTAAATTGATTTAATTTAATATTTTACATCAAAATATTAAAACCTGCGCCGCTCACCAAATTACTACATCCACAAGTGACACGTGGCCAATATCTGGTCACGTGATAAGGAGGCTATATCAGACTCCCTCGCTCTATGTCTTGAAAATACTCAAATAAACATCAAATTATTTTTCATAATAAATTAAGTCAACATTAATTTTCAAAAAAGGAATACGAATATATTTAAATCAACTGCGCACTTAGTCTAGCAAACTCCACTATTCACACTCTTAGACTACATATGCGGGAAATTCAAAATATATTTCGCAATTCATAAAAAACACAAACCAAGCGCGAACTACGAAATGAGACTTTGATTCCTCCTAGGAGAATATGTAGGCATACGATCGAAAATCGTGGTGAGTACCGCTAACTAAAATTCAAACCATTTTTCCCCAATAATTATATAAAACCATATTTCCTAAAAAATGTGCTTCTAATCCTAGTATCCTTGCGAACAAGGTAGTTAAGGGGTGTGTCGTACCCCAAATTTGTCCTACCTCGATAATTTCATTTTTCGAGATTAAAATAGAAGAAATATTTAATTAAGGATGGTACATCAGTATCTTATGGCCTATCTTTATCCAACTAGGGGGGTTAAACCTTAAATTCAGGAGAGCGAGGCTTGCTAAAATCAAAAAGACTCGTGTATCCATGGACCCATTCGATCGAAAATTATTATTATTACTTTAATAAAGAAAATAAATAATGTGTTTTATTAAAAAAAGAGCAACACATTTTTGTACTACTGTTGAACTTATTTTAAACTTCTTTTCTTATTGAGTGTTATTAAAGATTATTGTTTTTAGAAAAAAGACATTATTATTGAAACTGTTGTTATTTATTTTCTTTTTAAAAAAATATACATATAATAAGTAACATATTTTTTCGTTATTAATAGAAAACATAATATTTTTTATTATTACTGATAAACTTTTATTAGGATAATACTTTGTTGAATATTATGTTTATACTTTATTCATTAAAATTTTTGCTTCAGAAAAAAGAGGCCAATTGGGTCTGGGTATGTTAAAAACCTTTTTTGTTGTAATAAAAAAATAATGTACTGGGCTGAACAGAAAAATATGGTAAACGCGCTAGCCCAAGTGATGATAAACCATTACTGTATCAATCATAACAAAAAATAGGTGTTTTTCGCTACTGTTGAAATCAATTTTTTAACTAAAACAAATCTCCATTGCAGCCAACACTTATATCGCATATCACCTGCACCACTCAAGCCAGATGCATCTCCGGCCTTTCCTCCGCTCAGATCGCGATCGCTGCCACCCGATCGTGACCTCCCGCCCACTGTACGAAGCCAATCGCCACCGGAAACAGACCCAGATCATTTATCGAAGCCATCACCTTCAACGTCAGAGTCGTTCACAGAGGGCATCACAGGTGGAGAAGCTGTGAGAACATTGAAGACAGGAGACGAGAAGTTAAGAGTTGTGTTGTTGTTCTGGACACAGGAAATAGTGTGGAAAAGAGATTAGGGAGCGACCAATTTCTTCTGCTAAAAGAGATTAGCGTGGAAATCATTTTTTTTAACTAAAACAAATCTCCAAAACATCTAATTAAATCCAGAATACCTTTTACAGTGCAAAACATAAGAACAATTAAATCAAATCTAAAACTAAAGCTTGAATTTAAATATGCAAATTAACATAAATCAAATCTCCAACACTGAATAATATAAAATCTGGAAATTACACGAAGTCGCTGTTACAAACCAAATTACGTATTACAGCAGAATCAATTTCAATATAAAAATACATCAAATCTCAAATCTCTATTACAATCAAATATACATAATCAATTACAATGAATTTCAAATCTCTAATAACCCTAAATCTTTGCAATCTAAACTGTAACGCTAACAAATTACAAAACCCTAAAAATCTAAACCTAATTGGAAAAACCTATAAATACAAAGGAAAAGAGAGAGGAAGAGGAATTTTTTTTGGTTGACTGAAAAAGAACAGTAACATACCGCGAAGTGTGAACGGAGAGAAGCTTGAATTCGACGAGGAAGTTGACGCCCTTGCAAGCGAACATGGTTGAAGAAGGGAAGAATGGTTGGGGTTTCTTTGTCAGAAACCACAACCGTCGTTGACGGCCGCCTTCAACCGACCATCGTTGCCTTCAATCAGAGTCGGACGCTTGGAGATTCAAAAGGGGTAATTCGCCTTTTTTCAGTTTTGTTGTTTGATTTATGTGCGGTTAGGGGTTTGTGGGGGGGTAGATCTCGCTCTTGCCAGCGCCGCCATGGTGGTTGTGGCTGTAGTGTTGATAGGAAGAAGAAGATAAAAGGGTTTGTGTCGCTAGCGTGAGAGAGAGAGAGAGAGAGAGAGAGAGAGAGAGAGAGAGAGAGAGAAAGGTGAAGCTTCTGTCAAACGAGGAATTGTTGAAAATGAAATAAAAACAAAAAATGTTAATTTGTTCCACTCCAGTGCACACGCACATACTGTAATTATCATGTTCCCTCAACTTTGACCGCAAGATCATAATCGGACGATCGTAGGCCAAGTCCTACCGTAAGATCCATACTCCTTCACATACATAATTAGTCTAGCCCTTCATGAATTAGAATTGGGCCTAAGCCCTGTGATTTTAGCACCCCCATTCTGCCATTTTACTTGAATGTAGAATAACGTACACCCCCCCCCCCCCTCCCCCATTTGCCTGGACTCATGTCTGGGCCTAATTCCCATAATTTTAACACCCCCTGTTTTACTCGTTAGTTAGAATTTACACCCCCTGAATTTAATTTATTTATTTATTTTTATAATTCAATTATCATTTCTAATTTTTTTTAATATACATATATATTATTTATTTACAATAATAATAATTATTATTATCAAATAGTGATTTTTATTATTATTATTATTATTTTATATTATTATTATATATTGTTATAATTACTTAACTTTTTACTATTATTTATAATTATCATTTATTATTTATAATCCTTTTGTATGTAAATATTATTACTAATATATTTTATTTACTATCTAAATATTATTATATGTTTAAATAAATTATTTTTATATTAAAATTGCATATATTATTTTATATATTATTTGCATTAAAATTTTCTCCAATCATGCATTAATCAAGATCTTCGCAAATAATACGATTAAAAAACACAAACAAATCATCAAACTATTTTCGCAATAAACTAAGCTAATCAACTATTTTTTTTTTTGCAAAAGGATTTCAAACTAGTTTTGACTTACTGCACACTCAGTCAAAATCTCCACAATCACTACTCCTGATCGAGTGCGAGGTGATTCAAAATATGTTTGCAAACCCCTAAAAAACACCAACTCTATACGAACTACGAATTGGAACTCTGATTCCTCATAAGAGGATACATAGGCATACGATCAAAAATCGTAGCGAGTTCCCCTATAAAAATATTTAAACCCTTCTTTCTATTTAAAGTTTAAAATCCAGTTTTACCCAACCTAAACCTAGAGCCTAATATCCTTGTGGACAAGATAAATGAAATGTGCCTAACACCTTCCTTTCGTCTAATTGAGTCCGAAACCTAGAATCTCTGTCTGCGAATTAGGGTTTTCTGTTAGATTCTCTTCTCTAGGATAAAAACTAATAGTGGCGGCTCCTGATTAAAAATCCAGTTGCTACAGGGTGCCTAACACCTTCCCCTCATCTAGAACTGAGTCCAAATCTAGAATCTCTGAACTTTAGGGTTATTCCTTTATACTCCATTTGTTGCAACTGGTTTTTTAATCAGAGTCGCCATCCTAAATTTTTATCCTAAAGGAAGGGAGTATAAAAGAATAACCCTAAAGTTCAGAGATTCTAGATTTGGACTCGGTTCTAGACGAAGGGAAGGTGTTAGGCACCCCTTATCTACCTTGTTCGCAAGGATACTAGGTTTAGAAGTGCGATGTTTAGGAAATAGGGTTTTAATTATTAATTAAGGAAAAGGGTTTGAATTTTAGTTAGGGGGACTCGCCACGATTTTGATCGTATGCATACGTATCCTCCTAGGAGGAATCAGAGTCCTATTTCGTAGTTCGTAGTGTTTGTTGGTGTTTTTATAAGATTGCATAAAATTGCTTTTGAATTAATCTTGAACTTTGTCTGGGTTATAAATTGAGCGATCGTAGACGTGGTTCGCAGTTTGATTTGAAAGTAATGCTATGTAATCATTTTTCGAAAACATCTTGTTTTTTATTATGTTAGTAGAAAAAACAGTTTGTAATTGATTAGTTGTTTTGGTATTTGATTTAATTGAGGCGTGGAGCGGGGGAGTCTGATATAGTCTCCTCCTCACGTGGCCAGATATTGTCCACGTGTTGCCCATTAGTGAATTGTATGTTTTTTAATATTTTTGTAAGATATTGAATTAATCTTGAGAAAAAAAGTTTTATTTGATTTGTAAGAGAACTAAAAATAGATAACTTACATTAATTTAATAAAATCCTAATAATTAATCTATTAACTAAAAAATACTAACTAAAAAAATAGTGACTAAACAATTGAATGGAAGAAAGAAACAAAAACTTAAAAAAACCTAAGGTGCTAAGTGAGCAATGGGAGGTGAATTTGTGAAATGTACCCAAAAAAGACCCATGATCCACATGCTATCTCTAAACTCTAATTCTTAATTTACACCTAATAATTAAAACACAATGATGTGCCATTCTTCGTTCAGCTAGCATACTAATTCATTTGGCTTTTAACTACACACCAGCCAATTGGATGAAGACAAGTAGCGGCTATTTAATTAAATTAGAAGGAAAAAAACAATTAATACAAAGGGAACATGATAAAGAACAGAAGCAAGTGTGTTTCTCTCTCCCATCGTTACACTCTTATTTCTTCCTCACTCTCTTTAAAGATAACATACCCATTTTTCCAAACTCATCTTTCTCGTAATGTTAAACATAACAAAACATGACAGCGACACATCCATATAAATGAAAGAACAAGAAAGGTACCAAATTGGGGCTTCTTACAGAGAGAAGTCGCCGAGATGTTGGATGGCGGAGTGGAGTCCAGCGAGGAGGGGAGTGATGATGCACGGAGGATGACGATGATTAAGGTGACGGAGGCTCCACTGGGTTTAAGGTTTCGGATCTCGAAACCCAAACCCCCAAATGTGGATATGAACGGTACGGAGGTCCTTTTACTGCAACACTTTCTTCCCCCTCTACTGTAATTTTCTATAACTTTCGATACTTCCCGTTGTAAGAAATTTTTATCCTCTTCATTCTGTAATATTAGTTTTTGTTTTATAGTGTTTTTTAGGATCAATATATTTGGTAATTGATTTAAGTTAGTTTATTGTATAGCAAATTAGGGAAGTTTTTTTTTGGCAACAAATTCAATCAGTTTTAATTATGCCCGTAATGGTATTGATTTTGTTTGATTCTGTTTTGAATATAATTATGTTTCCATTTTAGTCATGACATGTTTCTGCAATAAGTTTTGATGTTGTTCCTGTAGTGTAAAAAGAATGACAATATTTTAATTCACACAGTAACTGCTGGTGCATTTTTTCTAAACTATCCGTACAGTGCATGTTCCTAATTATTGGGTGTTGTACCCCAAAATTTGCCCTCCCATATTCTTCAAAGTTTTGACAAGCATCATCTCAATTTGCTCAAGTATACTCAAGGGCTACACATTCAACCATCCTCCTAAGCCAGTCAAAATTAGGGTTTTGGTTCCTTCAAGGAAGTTGAGGTTTTCAAGGGCTCAATCAAGTCACATATGCATATAAACATTGTCAAGCATCTACATGCCAAGTTTCAAGGCTCACAAGGTCAAGTTGCACAGTCAAAAAACCTTAATTGCTTCACAATCAACTGTAGGGGCAAAATGGTCATTTGGCAGTCAAAAGTCAAAATTTTTGGTCAACATCTTATTTTGAAGCCACAATCATCATTTGGTCAAGTCTTGACCATGATTCCACAAGAATGGCTCAAAAATCATCAAGATGCAAAAGTTTCTATTTTTGGACAGCTGAAAAGTCAACTGTAACTTGACCAAGGCATAACTTTTTCATGGTTCATCAGAAAAATCCCATCCAATGCTCATTTTGAAGGTGAGGACGTTTCCTACAACTCATCTTCACATTACAAGTCCAAGAAATGCTCTCACAAAAAGTTATCAATTTCAACATTATAGGTCATTTTTAAAAGTCAACAAAAAGGCATTTTAAGTCAAAGACCATAACTTGATATTGGTAAATCAAAATGACATGGGACCAAAGGCATTGGTTAGAGGACTTCAATACCTTTCCAAAATGTCCAAGAACATGTTCATATGATCAAAATTGAGCAAGATATGCATTGGAGAAGTTGGGAAACTTTTGTGAAATGGCAAAAGTCAACTATCCTTGAAACTTCAATTTTTGACAAAAGGGCCCACTTGTTTCCACTTGATTCAGCCTTTTCATGCCACCCACGTGTCCCATGATTAATTTCAAGATTAAACATTAATTTTTCTATTTTAT